TGCACTGATTTGACGGACACTTTGTTGCAGTTTGTTGTCCTCCTGAAGAGAGAAATTGGCACCAATCAGTCATACACAGGGGCATGGCCATGCAAACTGAAATGATAGCTGTCCTTTTATAATTCTAAGACTTTACCGTTCTCAAACAACCCTTAACTAGCCGATGTACTACTGCGGTTTCCAGCAGTGCCAACATAATTGGAAATGCTTTTGCTTTTATTCCTGTAGTAATTAAATAGCCTTTGTGCCATTACCAAAGTGGATTGATAAAGATATTTGATTAAATACCACTAATGACTTATAATGAATGATTTCATGAATTGGGCAGCTTGGCAGCACAGTGTTTTACGCTGTTGCATCACAGCAGGAAGGTCCTGGGTTTGAATCCACCCTACTTGTTCTCCTTGTGCATGCATTCAGCTTTCTCCCCTTTTATGGTGAATTTAAACTTAAAAAACAAAAACAAGGACATGTCCAGGTGACTTTACAGTAACAGTAACAGTTTAAATATGAATATGTCACTCACTGATGTGCCGAATCATTTTTAGACAACAATGCAAGTCTGTAGGACAGAAACAGCCTGCGTCACTCTGCACAGACAAAAGCTGATAAAAGAATTTGTTATTAAAAATACCAAATATTGCCAGTCTTCTCTATTAATGTTGCTAAGTGGGCGGTCGTATTAGAGTTTTACACCTTCTAGAGCTCAAGTTTGAAAATTCTTGCATTTGTTAAGCTATTAAAGCAGCAATGAAACCCACCACAAACCTCCTTTCATTGGGGATCTCATAGGTGGCAGTGATTTCAGAGCAAACACCATATTTTAATATGTGAAACACATTATTAGCCCCACTTAACACGCCAGGTTTCCTGTCATTTACAAAATTTGTAATGTGTTTACCTCGAGCAGGATTTCCAATGGAAAGAACCGAGTGTCACTTTCCAAAGATAAGTGTGTCTTAACAAGCAATAACAAATTAGATTTGGAGCCAGGTGCTGTTGATTTTACTAGATTTGACAGGTACTTAGGCTATCAATAGTAAGAAAAATGTGAACAGGTTAAACACGGCGATGATTGTCTGCTCGCTCAAATATTATTTGTAACACAAAAGATGAGCTCAAAGCAGCGATTATTAGCTATACCTACACTCAGTGACTTCGTGAACTTATTCATATGCAGCGAAGGGAGCAAAGCACTCTTAGCACCAGGGTTTTAGCCTCCACTGGGAACAGCCATGTGCTAAAATATATGCAAGAAACAGTCCCGGATAGAGGTGCCCACCACACAGCCCAAGTTATTTTAATATTAGCTGTCAAGCAACAGAGATGTGTCTGTAGTCTCCCCCAAGGGAAGCCAAATTTTCTAGGACATCAGGCCTCAGTGCCGCACTGACCATTATGAGGTTAAGTCGAGTTTTTTTTTTTTTTTTAAGAAGTAAACACCGCGCCGGGTGGACGTGCAGTCACTGTTCTAGAACATTTTCTTCTGTTACTTTCTCGTCTCCACAGGAACGAAAATAAAAAGCAGCTCCCAGGGCAGAACAAGTGCGATCTCGCTGCAGGTTAAACAAGTTGAATGTTGTCTCAAACACTTGACAGTTTCATTGCCGTGCCTTGACCTTGTTCTTTATGCCAGATTGTAGTTACTTCAAAACACCATCTCTCTCTTGTTTAGCCCACACTGCTGCGAGCTGTAGAACTCGGTGCTAACGCTGAAATATCTGCATCTGACTGAACAGGATATTAAATTGGTTTTATGTAATTTTGCTTATTATCTATTCAAGTACCATCAGTTCCCCAAGACACAGATGTAACCTCTGTGGGTCTTACTTCTGTACACACCTTTGCTAAACGTTTCCTTTGTATATAAGATAAAGTATAAAGAAAAAAACTTTTTGCTTTCCTTTTGCAGGAGTGAGAAATGTAGGTTATATGATGTATAGTGTCAGACTTCCAAATAAGAAGAAGCCAAAACTGCACTAATATTTCCATGACGAATGTGCTCCCGTGTGCAAATGTTAAAATGTTGCAAATTTTTTTTGTGACAGTTCTCTTAGCCTCTTCTACTCAACCAGTTTGGTAGCCAAGAAATTTGTCATTCAGGTCACTATTACTTCAAAGACTGCTTGCTTTAGCAGCAGCCAAGTTTAAAATTAAAAACATGACAGCTAGGGAGAAAGTGAGAATACATTTTCATTGCATTTCCAAAAAAAAGAAGTTTTTGTGAAATTTCACATTCTCCAGGGCTTTTCCAAGCCTGGAAGAAAACACTCGATTTGCACAACTAGAGACAACATTCATATTTGTTAAACATTCATGAAAGCAAAAAAAAGCTTAAACTTATTCAGAAATGTTGGAGAAGACCCTGACTCTGCTCAATCTGAAACGTTTGGGGGGGGAGGGGGGTGTCTGCTTTAAAGAGCCTAGGAAGCCTAAAGGTGAGAAAGAGCTGGAAGACTGGACGCGAGTATGTGGATGCATCTGTTTGCTGTTAACGCTGATGTTTAATGCATCTCTTCTGTTCTGCTCTGTGGCTGGAGAACGCTCGTGGGGGTATCTGTGCTGGCACTGCAGATAACAGAATGGCACTACCTTCATCTGTCCCCACAGGGAACATGGCAGCGAGAGGAGCAAGAAAGAGAGATTAAGACACCGAGAAAGACTGAGTGAAGGAGAGCAAACAATTTTCACGTTAATTAGCATCCCTCTCCTCCCCCGCAACGCAAACAATGCAGAACCCACAGAACGGGAAGCAAACAGGGACACGGCTGCTGCGAGCTTGCTAACTTTAGGTCTCCTCATCTTGTGCTGAATCAGTGGCAGGCGGCAAAACACATCAAAAAGGACAGCGCTGTGGGATTAAGAGCAAGTCAGAGGGAGTGGTGGGAGGCTAGGAGTAAAAAAAAAAAACACAAGCCAGGGGAAGGTGGGGAGGGCTGTGGAGACAGGCGAGGGAAAACTAGGCAAGGGACAGAGGGGAAAAATGGAGGAGGCAAACAGAAGGGGAAGATGGGAGAGCCAGACATGAAAGGAGAAAGACAGAGGAGAATATGGTGGGAAATGGGGAGGATAAGAAAGAGGCAGGGGACAAGAAAAGCAGGGGATAGGGAAAAAAGAAAAGAGAGCAGCTAGAAGGAAGGCGGGGGAATATAAAAAATGATGAATGAAAGAGAGACAGAAAGGGGAAGAGTAGAGAAATAGGGAGCACAACGGGAAGATGGTTCTGTTTATGAATCGCTGCGACTCTGCTTCCTACACACAGCTGCTTTGCTGACATGCAAACACCCAAATGCTGACGCATGTCAATAAACGTACCAGCATCACAATCCAGTAACCGTGGGGTTTCTAAGTGAAAGCAGAGGAAGTGAGGTGCACAATGCCATCCTACTGCCTTTAATGGCGAACGCATCCAAAATAAACCTCAGGAGAGAAAGGCGGTTTATTCAGCTGATGCTGAAACACGTTGTCGAACAGCCGAACGGCCAGTCAGAAAAATAAAAAAAGGATCCATCAAAGCAGCTTGATCAAATCTATCCTCCTTTACATGGCTGCCGGATCAATAAAAACAGCACGACTCAGAACAGCTGGCAATTTCTTCAACGCAATGTGGCGAGCACACAAACATGAAAAGAGTCCTACAATTCCCCTCTGGGTTGGAGGCGCGCAAACACAAACCCGCACGCTGGGTACTCGAGAGAAATACCATACATGCAGTCGAGCATGCAAGGACACAGTTGTGTATCCAATTTTTGTTCCATCTCATTTTTGAATCGATAACACATTACAGCAGTTTCTGAAGAAGTCGAGCACAGACTCGGGGATTCGTCCAAGCCGAACATATGCACATTTTTAGACCTGCCAGGGAAAAAAAACCAAAACAAACTGCATCTCCATCATTACAAAGTAGCGCATCACTGTGCCAACAATACTCCAGAAATTCATTTTAAATTCCAGTCAAGACACAGAGGTGAGTCACTCAAACATAACAGATACATCACAGGAAGGTGTGTGCAAACTCATGTGCGAGACGGCAAAAAATAGTTCCGTCTCCGTGCCATCGTACATTTTAACATCCGAGTCAACACGGCATCATAAACTGCAGAAGTAAGCCGATACAGGCGCTACTGTATGTGCCTGACTTCAAAGCAAAGCAAACATTATGAATGTGGAATTAACTCTGATTCTAACGATGCTTCTTTTGAATTTTACACTCATGTATCTTTTAAGTGAGTAGCTGCCATACAAACATGAGCATGTAGCTGCAGTTTAAGATAGCATCAACAGAATATCTTCAATTCTTCAAATGACTGAGGTCATCTCCACTTCTTGTAGGATTGTTCTTCTCAGTCTCCAACTGAAATGAGGGTCAACCATAATGTTGACTCCATTTTTTTTTTTTTACTCATTATGTCTTAAGGCATATACTAAGGGTGATCTCACACTAGCCACGGCTGCCTTGTACTATGCTTTCATATAACTGCCCCCACTCCCTACGGGCCCCGCTGTCCTGCGATGCCCTTACCAGTCCAGGCCAGAGCACCACAGTTTGTCTCAACGTCTCTACTCCACTCTCGAGCTCACAGCTTCTTTCTCACAGACACATACTTTTAAAATAACCTTGCATTGCATAATGAGGTTCATCACGTTACATATTTTGTGGGTTATTTGGGGAAGTGGTGCTACGCTGTTTCTTCAACATTTCTTAATTGCTTAACACAGTGATTAACAGGAGGGTCAAACGAACACACACACAAATAGCACATTTTACTGACACGTTTGCCACAAAATAATGTTTTTACACTGTACGTCAGGCTGTGTAAGGCACAGCAGAATCAAAAATGGCTGGTATAAAAAGGGGAAAGCAGCTTTGGTAATCCATCACCATCGTTCACGTTGAACACAGGCACATGTATGTACACATTAAGGGTGAGTGCAGCAACATTAACGCCCAGGTATCTCTGGTGGAGGAGCGGGCGAGCTGACAGGGGAGGGCCGCTTACCTGAAGAACGTGACGAAGAACTGCACCAGATCCATGAAGTTACTGTGCTGGGAGAAGGCAATCTGTTAAAACAGGAAACAGAGGGCACACGAGTGAGTCAGAAATCTGCTTTAATAGGGGAGATTTTGAAGCAGGTCAGCGTTATACATTCAAAAAATAAATAAATCAAGCTTTAGACCAGCGCTGACCTTGCAGATCTGAGGAGAGCAGGAGGGATGCTCCTGCTCTCACTATGCATGTTTGCATTGCATACTGTGAACCATCTATATGATCAACACTTTACAGTGTGTCTAAAACATTTATTATTATTATTATTATTATTATTATTATCATCATTGATATTTCTCCTTCGCTGAGGCTACCCATGCACTGCTATCCCCAACTGCTGGGAGGATGCCAGTCTTATCTGTGCTCCCGACTACACGCCTGTCAGAGACAACAACCCAGCCGCCTGACCTCTCAGCTGCCCACAAGCCTGCACAAAAAAAAGCATTCCTGCACATGTGGGCAGAAATATTCACTATGTAATCATCACAAGAGCAATTGTGCTAACATAATCCTGTCTTAATCAAGGTTGCCAAGGGTA